TCCCATCACCTCCTGGGAAATAGAAGGGGAATATATGGAGGCAGTGACAGATTTCACTTTCTTGGGTTCCATGATCACTGCAGATGGTGACAGCAGCCACAAAATTAAAAGATGCCTGCTTCTTGGGAGGAAAGCAATGACAAACCTAGACAGCATCTTAAAAAGCAAAGACATCACCTTGCCAACAAAGGTCCGCATAGTCAAAGCTATGGTTTTTCCAGTAGCGATGTATGGAAGTGACAGCTGGACCATAAAGAAGGCTGATCGTCAAAGAATTGATGCTTTTGAATTGTGGTGCTGGAGGATTTTCTTGAGAGTCCCCTGGACTGCAAAGAGAACAAAGCTATCCATTTTGAAGGAAATCAACCCTGAGTGTTCCCTGGAAGGGCAGATCCTGAAGCTAAGGCTCCAATACTTTGGCCATCTCATGAGAAGAGAAGACTCCCTGGAAAAGATCCTGATTTTGTGTGAAGTCAAGAGAAGGGGACGACAGAGGAGAAGACGGTTGGACAGTGTCATCAAAGCTACCAACATGAATTTTACCCAACTCCGGGAGGCAGTGGAAGAACATGAATTTGACCCAACTCTGGGAGGCAGTGGAAGACAGGTGGGCTTGGCGTGAAGAGTTAGACACGACTTAACGACTCAACAAAAAAGACACTAGAAGATTTCGTACTTCTTCAGCAGGAGCAGAATTATGAGTAATGTAGGTACTCTGTGGCAGTTGCAGAAAGGCTTCAAGTATTCCTGTCTTTCCCCCACCAGAGACAACAGCAGCCTTTATGATGAGTGCGTAACTATCAGCATGAAATGGCTGCTGAGAGGAAAAGCCTTATTTTCCTTTTGATATTCAAACTGCGTAATTTAAAAAAGAAGTTCCACAAGAGAATCAAGAAACTACACATGGCTGAAAATACTATTACTTATGTACTACTACTACTGCTACTGCTGCTATTACTACTACTACTACTACTAATTGCTTATTATTTTTTACATATGCCAGCATAATTACAGTGGGCATTACAGACCGTCAAAGAATTGATGCTTTTGAATTGTGGTCGTGGAGGAGACTCTTGAGAGTCCCCTGGACTACAAAGAGAACAAACCTATCCATTCTTAAGGAAATCAACCCTGAGTGCTCCCTGGAAGGACAGATCCTGAAGCTGAGGCTCCAGTACTTTGGCCATCTTATGAGGAGAGAAGACTCCCTGGAAAAGATCCTGATGTTGGGAAAGTGTGAAGGCTAGATGAGAACCGGACGACAGAGGATGAGATGGTGGGACAGTGTCATCAAAGCTACCAACATGAATTTGACTCAGCTCCGGGAGGCAGTGGAAGACAGGTGGGCTTGGCGTGCTCTGGTCCATGGGGTCGCGAAGAGTCGGACATGCCTAAACAACAACAAAAGGTGTCTGTATTCTTTTTCATGGGCACATGCCAATGAATACAAACACGGACTCCTTAATTAGTGGCAATTTACTACTACAGTTTACACTAATTTCACTTACACTTGTGCACATAAGTAAGAGGATTCTGGCCAGTGTGTAGTACTTCCTTCCTTCCTTCCTTCCTTCCTTTTAAGAAGGATTCTAGAACATGGGTTGGGGAACAGGGGTAAAAGTGAAAATCCTGGGGGTAATAAGCAAAGTGCTACTCCCTCCCACCCCCACCCTCTGCAGGCAAACTTCAGATTGTAAGCCACCTCTCCCTGTTACTTCCTGGTTGCAGCAGGCGCTTGTAAATCCTCCATGGGAGATAAGCCTGCTTAATTGGCTACAGCTGTGGAATAGCCCCAA